ACTGTGTTACAGTGCATAATACACACTACACTGTATAAAAAGGTCTCAAATTCTGTGCACTCGAGTATAGAAGTGTAGAATTGATGAGAATTATGAATATTCTTAACAATAAATTCGTCAAACTATTGATTAATACTAATTGACAATTGAAACACAACACTAACGCATACTACGAGTGAAATGCGTGCCATTTGTTGATGATTTGATTTGATGTGAAAATTTGGTTTATTTAGAGGAAAACGTCTGACAACTCAGATGTGATGCGCAAGTCATCCAATTCTGGCCTCTATTTGAAGAAACCCTCTGAAGAGAGATTAATGTTCAGCGAAGCCCTCACTTAATATACCAATTGTTGTCATTTCCGGCAGTTTTCATATAAAATATATCACAGAATATTCTATATGAATATAATACACTCTATGGCATAATATACACAATATATGACAATATACTCTTTTGTTTTGACTAAAACAATAATTTTATTAATTTTAACAAAAATAGTCACTTATTCTATAATTTTATTTAAATAAACTTTTAAATAAAAATTTTTCAAGTTTTAAGTTTTATATATTCAATGCTAAATATGAATAATTTTAAAAATAAATTAACAATAAAACTGAAGTAAACATGAATTGAATGTCTGTTTAGAAACTGAAAATATCACAAAAATGGATTACAATAAACAGATGCAAATGAATATTCATTTGAAATATAAGTTTTATTAAAACAAAAAGTCATTGTTTAGACATTTGTCTCGAAAACACATTATTTCCAATTATTGAGCGTTTATTTTGTGGTACAGAATCTAATTGAAAACTAATGTAAAATACAAACAATTTTCATAAAGATGTCAATCATTTGGCAAAAACATTACATCGGAATTGAAATGTATTTGAAAATGAAAATACATTTCATGTGTGAAATGTTAGCCAATTGCTTTAAAATCTAATTTATTTTATGTTTTCATGCGATCAAAAGCTTTCAATATATTTTCCAAGTAATAGACAATAGCTTTTTAAATGCAAACTCACGTCATTCAAGAAGTCAATCAATTGCTTGTGATCTATATAATCAGATTTCCCTTGAGTTCTGTTTTATGCAAATTTTATTCAATTCGTTTAATTTCTTATGTTTTCCATGAAATCAATTCAAATCTTACATCTGATTGAATAGCTCTTCGATGTCATTTCGGGGACAAACCTTATGGTAGAGTCGGTAAAACCTCTCAAAAGTCCACTCCGACGGCTCAATCACATCATTCTTTATACATTCAATTAATATTAATATTACTTTAAGTTAATATAATAATACTAGTAATACCTTATCATGAGGAAGTCCTATATCTTTCATCATTTGATAAATTAATTTCTCAGTCTTTCCCGAAGCGAATGTTTTGGCAACACTTTAGCAAATATGGTAAAATTAATTATAACAAGCAATTTTAAGAAAATTTCCAAGTTAAATAAAGATTAATTTTATTTACAAAAAATTGATTAAAAAATACCTTTTAACCGGAATTTTGCAGTTACTGTCTGTTAGAAAACCTAATTTCATCCAACTTTTAACAAAACACAAAATTTTGATTTAATTAATATAATTTTGCAATATTTATTTCACAGACTTACTGTTTCTTTAAACAAGTAATCGGACAAACATTATTGGCCTTATTATTATTAGTGATTTGTCTTAACCATTGTTGCCAATCCTTATTTTGACATTATATAATTTTGCAATATTTATTTCACAGACTTACTGTTTCTTTAAACAAGTAATCGGACAAACATTATTGGCCTTATTATTATTAGTGATTTGTCTTAACCATTGTTGCCAATCCTTATTTTGACATTAACATTAAATAAGTACCGTATAAATAATACATTAATATATTTCATAAAAAGATCCAAATGTTGCAATTATTCTTAAACAATGCTAAAATTATGCTATTTTAATTGTTTATAATGCAGTTTGCAATTTATATCTTTTTTTAAATTATTAATTCTTTAATTATCAAGAAATATCAAGAAAAAATTATTTAATTCAAGTGAATGTTGTAAAAATTAAGTTTTTAATTATCTTTATATTATATAAAGAGCACAGTATTATCTCGTAATGGATTAATACAGTATATTCTTGCTATTATTGTCATATCAATTGTTCATTATTTTTGTATGTGATTTATCTTTTAGGTTAATATAATAAAATAAAGTCACAAACACTGACGTAAAATATTAAATTCTTTAAAAGATAATGATAAACATTTGGATCAATTTATAAAATATATTCATAATAAATGGTAAAAATACTTTAGCAGTTTGATCGTCGGGACAGACGATGTGAGTGTAGTTGATATTAACCATATCATAACCACTGCATATAGTTAGTGAACAGTCCTCAAGTACTCCAGTGGTTCGCTGTTGGAGTTCATAGAGAAGTCTCGGGTCCTGTTATTAATTACTTAAATATACTCAACTGTAACCTTGATTATGTATTAATAATGTCATACCTTTGGTACCCCTCCTAATCTGATGTCATTCACTTGGCATAGTTCTAATACCTGTCCCTCCTTTCAATATAATTAGAATTTATTTAAAACTTGATCGTTATTTACAATCAATTTATAATTGCTTACTTTGCCCTCAGATTTCCAATATATGAAAAAGCCATATTCGTCCACTTTGAATGTTGCATTCGGCTCGTACACTATTTCACCCTTTTCCTATTCATTTGTTTATTTACAATCAATTTATAATTGCTTACTTTGCCCTCAGATTTCCAATATATGAAAAAGCCATATTCGTCCACTTTGAATGTTGCATTCGGCTCGTACACTATTTCACCCTTTTCCTATTCATTTGTTACAATTTATACTGTATTATTCATGCTTTATTTAAATATGTACAATCCTAGCCATCATTTTGCATTTAATCAATAGATCAATAATACTCTAACTCTTAAGTAAGTCTACTGAACACACTTATAATCATGAGAACCATGCAATACAGACATTTGAATTGAAAACAAAATAACTTATTGAAATAAATTAGTTGGAAGCTAACTGGTAAGTATTTTTTAACGAATACATTAAGATACTGTGGTACATAAGAGTTTAAAATAATTGATGTTTTGATAGATATTACATAAAAATAAATATTATAAAGAATACCTCTTCCCACATATGAAAGTTATTGCCATCGAGTAGTGGTTGAGGGACAGTCCGTTGCCAATTGAATTCATAGGCTTTAGTCATTGCTCGCACTTTCTCTCTTCCTTTTGTACAACCAATTCAATCACATTTTCACTGTTATTCACATTCAAAACATATTAAACTCCGCAATCAATCATTTCATTTGTAACTTATTATTTAATAGCAACTGTGAAATTAAATATTGAAATATTTTCAGTACACAGACAGAAATGATATTTCATATAATTCACATTTAGAGTTAAATTTTAGAGACAATTCATACGTACAAAATGGTTTATAAATATGATTCTCAATTACAAACGAAAATCATGAAACCTCTTTCACTGACAACCTATTAATGTAATTCTAATCAAGTTACTATTAATGAAGATTTTATTGCTGCACTTGAACTAAACTGTTAAAGTTTTGTTTGTTTAGATTTTTGATAAAATAGACTAATTTATAAAGCTAATAATATTTTATTATACACTAGTTTTATGGCAAGAATTATAAAGTTTACTAACTTGAGCTAAAATGTAGACAATTGTCATATAACTGAAAGAGATTATATCAGTAGTAAACGAATTGATATAACTTTGAATACAACTCAAGCTTGTTTATTTACGTTTATATTCATTTGCAGTCAATTCACAAATGGTTTTAAGCATTAATTATTGTCTTTTACAAACATATAAGTTGTATATTTATATTCTTATTATTACTTTGAAAACTTTAAGCTCAACGACAATTCAAAGCCCATAACCTTAGCCTACAAAATGTTTCCTCTATTCTTCATTAGCTCTAAAAATAACCGAAATTCACGAACAAATACACTATCAATGAGAAGAACTGTGTTTACATGAATTCATTGACATAATTATGGATTTATATTTAATACTAGACAGGAATTCATTTAATTTATGTCTAACTTATTGAAATTTATATTTATTAATTTGAGCTTTTATTTATGTGGGATAATGTTAAATAATTATACATTAATTGCTAAATAGTTTCAACATACATACCTCTACAGTACTGATAACTGTGTTACAGTGCATAATACACACTACACTGTATAAAAAGGTCTCAAATTCTGTGCACTCGAGTATAGAAGTGTAGAATTGATGAGAATTATGAATATTCTTAACAATAAATTCGTCAAACTATT